ATAGATAGATAGATAGATAGATAGATAGATAGATAGATAGATAGATAATGGATGAATAGATAGATAGATAGATAGATAAAGGATGAATAGAGATAGATACAGTAGATAGATACGATAGATAGATAGATAGATAGATAGATAGATAGATAGATAATGGATAAATAGAGATAGATAGATAAATAGATAGATAGACAGACAGACAGACAGACAGATAATGGATGGATGGATGGATGGATAGAGATAGACAGACAGATACTTGGATGGATGGGTAGGTAGGTAGGTAGGTAGGTAGATAGGTGACCCACAGACAGACGATCTCTAGCTGGTGGTCTGGGGTCTCACCAGGCCAGTAGAGTTGCACTTGGATTAGGGCCTGGGGGTGGTAGAACCACCTCTGCCCCCGCCCCTTGTTTAACCCTGGAGAGGCTCAAAGCCCTGCACCCCCTCCCCCCCCAAAAGCCCCAAGACCAAGCAAGAGATCCTTGTTTAAGGGGGTTTAGAGGCGCTCCGCTTCTGAGAGGAGAGAAGGAGAAGGCGCTCTGCACACGCCCCGGGGCGCTTAGCCTTTAGATGCTGTTTTGCAGGGAGGATCCCGTCCCCGAATTGCGGGTTCGCATCTGGGTGGCTTTTCTCCCCTCTTCCTTCCTTCGCTCCTCCGCTTCCCCGATCCGCACCGTGCAGGCTGGGGATGATGGGGTTGCAGTCCATCCTCGGGGCACAAAGGGAGCCTCTCCCCACCGCCCACCGCCCCCCTCCCGCAGCTCTCTTGCACCGAGCCTAGCAAGGCTTTGGCAAAGGGGGAGGGAGGTAGAGTTAGGGGGCTCCCCTCCGGAGACCCTGCGATACCTTGCAAAATTGGGCATCCTTTTGCACGGGGGGGGGGAGGGAGGGGTCAGGTTGGGGCGTCGAGACCCTCCCGCCGCTGCGCCCACCTTCGCTCCCCCCGCGATCCTAGGGCGAGCGGAGGCCGCGCAGGCTCTGGCAGGAAGGCACTTCCGGCTCCCCTTCGACGCGGGCGGGGCGCCGTCGTCGATGGGGAACCCGAAGTGTCGCCGCAGCAGTGATCGCCGGGCCGGCGGGAGGAGGATTATTCCGACCCCGCAGGACGATTGGCAGAGATCCAAGAGGGCAGGAAAAGAGGGGTGGGGGAGGAAAGGGATAAATCTATCTATCTATCTATCTATCTATCTATCTGTCTGTCTGTCTGTCTGTCTGTCTGTCTGTCTGTCTGTCTGTCTGTCATCTCTCTCTCTCTCTCTCTCCCTCACCAGTCACCTCTCTCTCTCTCATCTATCTATTTATCATCTATCTATCCATCCATCCATCCATCCATCCATCCATCCATCAGCAGGGAATGAGCTCTCATCTCTATTTATCATCCATCCATCCATCCATCTATCTATCTATCTATCTATCTATCTTATTTATTTATTGTTTATATTTATATACTGCCCTTCTCCCGAAAGGACTCGGGGCGGTGAACAGCCAACAAATAAAAAAACAAGAAATACAAAATTTAAAAACAGTATTAAAATCCAATTAAATTAATTTGGCCTATCTATCTATCTATCTATCTATCTATCTATCTATCTATCTTCTCTCTTTCTCTTTCTCTCCCTCTCCCTTGCCAGCCATCTCTCTCTCTCTCTCTCTCATCTCTGTTTATCATCTATCTATCTATCTATCTATCAATCATCTATCTATCTATCTATCTATCTATCTATCTATCTATCTATCTATCTATCATCTCTCTCTCTCCCTCTCCCTCACCAGTCACCTCTCTCTCTCTCATCTATCTATTCATCCATCCATCAGCAGGAATGAGCTCTCATCTCTATCATCCATCCATCTAGCTAGCTATCTTATTTATTTATTGTTTATATTTATATACTGCCCTTCTCCCGAAAGGACTCGGGCGCGGTGAACAGCCAACAAATAAAAAAACAAGAAATACAAAATTTAAAAACAGTATTAAAATCCAATTAAATTAATTTGGCCTATCTATCTATCTATCTATCTATCTATCTATCTATCTATCTATCTATCTATCTTCTCTCTTTCTCTCCTCCCTCTCCCTCTCCTTGCCAGCCATCTCTCTCTCTCTCTCTCTCTGTTTATCATCTATCTATCTATCTTCTATCTATCTATCTATCTATCTATCTATCTATCTATCTATCTATCAATCATCTATCTATCTATCTATCATCTATCTATATCTATCTATCAAATCTCTTTCTCTCCCTCTCCCTTGCCAGGCATCTCTCTCTCTCTCTCATCTCTGTTTATCATCTATCTATCTATCTTCTATCTATCTATCTATCTATCTATCTATCTATCTATCTATCTATCTATCATCTCTCTCTCTCTCTCCCTCACCAGTCACCTCTCTCTCTCTCATCTATCTGTTTATCATCTATCTATCTATCTATCCATCCATCCATCAGCAGGAATGAGCTCTCATCTCTATCATCCATCCATCTAGCTAGCTATCTTATTTATTTATTGTTTATATTTATATACTGCCCTTCTCCCGAAAGGACTCGGGGCGGTGAACAGCCAACAAATAAAAAAACAAGAAATACAAAATTTAAAAACAGTATTAAAATCCAATTAAATTAATTTGGCCTATCTATCTATCTATCTATCTATCTATCTATCTATCTATCTATCTATCTATCTATCTATCATCTCTCTTTCTCTCCCTCTCCCTCTCCCTTGCCAGCCATCTCTCTCTCTCTCTCTCATCTCTGTTTATCATCTATCTATCTATCTATCTATCTATCTATCTATCTATCTATCTATCTATCAATCAATCAATCATCTATCTATCTATATCTATCTATTATCTCTCTTTCTCTCCCTCTCCCTTGCCAGCCATCTCTCTCTCTCTCTATCTCTGTTTATCATCTATCTATCTATCTATCTATCTATCTATCTATCTATCTTCTATCTATCTATCTATCAATCATCTATCTATCTATCTATCTATCTCTATCATCTATCTATCAATCATCTATCTATCAATCATCTATCTATCTATCTATCTATCTATCTATCTATCTATCTATCATCTATCTATCATCTCTCTCTCTCTCTCTCTCCCTCACCAGCCATCTGTCTCTCTCTCTCTCTCATCTACCTATCAGTTTATCATCTATCCATCCATCCATCAGCAGGAATGAGCTTGTATAGTGATGAGATGAGATGAGATGGAGAGGTGGATTCTTCCTTGACTTTGGGAACCCCTTTTGTTCCTTCTTTTGGAGAAGACCATGGACATCTCTCAAGAAGTTCTTCTCTGAGGCCATTAGTACCCTTCAGAGACGCGGTGGCTCACTGGCTAAGACACTGAGCTTGAAAGGTCGGCAGTTCAGCGGTTCGAATCCCTAGTGCCGTGTAACGGGGTGAGCTCCCATTACTTGTCCCAGCTTCTGCCAACCTAGCAGTTCGAAAGCACGTAAAAAATGCAAGAGGAAAAATAGGGACCACCTTTGATGGGAAGGTAACAGCTTTCCATGCGCCTTTGGCGTTTAGTCATGCCGGCCACATGACCACGGAGACGTCTTCGGACAGCGCTGGCTCTTCGGCTTTGAAACGGAGATGAGCACCGCCTCCTAGAGTCGGGAACGACTAGCACATATGTGCAAGGGGAACCTTTACCTTTACTTTAGTACCCTTCAATTACTTCCCACCCCCCATCTCATTGCAAGCCCTTAAAGCGTCTTGGGGTTGTCTGTTTTCACAGCCAATCAGCTGCTCTTTCCCTTTGTGACATTACAAACAGCCCACTGCCTCCACCTAAGGCGATCTATATCCTTATTTTTCCTCCTGCAGTTATGTTCCGCTAACACATGCTCATGCTGGGTAGAATTAATGGGATTTGCCATCCATTCCAGTGGTGAAATCCAATTTTTTTTACTACCGGTTCTGTGAGCGTGGCTTGGTGGGTGTGGCAGGGGAAGGATACTGCAAAAACTCCATTCCCACCCCATTCTGGGGCCAGCCAGGGGTGGTATTTGCCAGTCTACCTGTTCTCCAGAACCTGTCAGAACCTGCTGATCCATTCCCATCTTTAAAAATTGCTCGACTTTCATTTCTCTGTGTGTTTCCCCTCTGGTAGAATCTTTTTTTTCCTGATGAAACGTTTTTATATCTCGTTCTTACAAAGATGTGTCCTAAAAGCAATATACTGCTCAGAGATCCAGGTTTGAGTTCTGATTTGATCCTGGAGGTAGCAGAGTGGTTTTTATGTCAGGCACACAATGTTTCTACCCAACCTACCACAGTGAAGTAGCAGTTTCCCAGAAAGGAGGAAGCACATTCTAAGGAGGGGGTGAGACAAGAGGGTGAGAGTAATGTGAGTTTAGTCTGGCAAGATTCTATTAGGTGTGAGCA